TACGCAGCAAAGCGAAGTCTTTCTTAAGTAATCCAGGAAAGATTAATGGGGAGCAGTAAAGAGGGATGGTTAGAATACAAGAGTTGACAAACTGAGAAAGCAAAGACTGCTTTATACCAGACTGCCTTAACTTCCTAACGTAGAACGTTAAGCGAAACATCTTTCTAGTAACTAGCAAGATGTGAGAGGACCAGGAAAGATCGGAGGAAATACTCAGTTCAAGGTATTTGACATTAGATGTAGTTTCAACCTCTATGCCGTCAATGATAGTGGGACCATGTGAGCTAGCTAGTTGTTGTAGGTCACGTTTTCGTCTGAAATTGAAATTTACTACCTGACATTTTCACGAATTCAGCTTAAGACCGTTTGAAGAGGACCACTGACTAATTTCCGAGAGAAAGTTATTTAATTTGGAACAGTCTGACTGAGAGTTGACAGGCATGGAGACAGAGAGGTCATCAGCATACTTGATAAAAGTGGCTACATCAGAATGAGGCAAGTCATGTAAGAAAAAAGAAAACAGAAAAGGAGAAAGAACAGCACCTTGAGGAACACCAGCTAAAGTAAGTGAGGTAGTGGAGGACTTTCCATTGTAGACGGTGTACTGCTTCCTATCAGAAAAATAGGAATGCAACCACTTATTTGTCCAGCTTTCAGCCTGTGTTGCAGCAAGCTTACTTAGGAAGAGAGACCTAGGAACAGAGTCAAATGCAGATGTGTAATCAAGGAAGGCACACCGAACATATTTGGCTCCTCTATCTAAACTAGAGACTATATTATGATATAGAACAACAGCGTCATCTAAGGTACTCCTACTATGTTTATAAGCAAACTGGTTGGGGTCATTAAAAGGCTTTAAAGAGGGTTCAAGATTAAATAAAATAAGTCTTTCCATAACTTTTAAAAAGGTGAGGTAATAGCAATCATCTATCATCTACACTCAGTAGAATAGGATAAGCCATCATCGCCAAAAATCAAAACACTTTTTCAGAACTTCTTTAGTGACAAATGACATTTTAAAGAAAGCTGTAGTTTCCAAGATGTCATTACTTGTGAAATCTAAAACTATATGAAACAGTGACTAACTCTTCACCACTGCTCACCACAGTAGCTAGAATATCCTAGAATACAGTGGAAAAACCGTCTAGGAATCATATTTTTTTATTTGTAATAACCACCGAAGGGGTTTTATTTCATGATGAAAACGATGATCGAAAATATGGGAGCTGAGTGACTAACTGCCTGAATTTTCAACGTGAGATTTTGCACAGAAGTGCCGCATTGCAAAGAGTCACGCGTCGGTACAGAATAAGATGAGCAGAGAAAGTATTCGTAGTAGAAATGTTAGGGAGAAAGGATAATCACATGGAGAACGAATCTAGGAGATCAGCAGATATGAATGCCTCTGAGCTACTGAGAATGTTTTTGAGCTTTCATCAATAAGCTCCAGAGAGTAGTTCTTAGCGTATCGAGGACCTCAGTCAGGAAGTGTATTTATCTGGAACCAACAGTGAAGGACTCTATAGAGTGATTCCACACTTTGATTTGACCGCTCCCACGTCTTTTCAGCCTAAACTTATATCACTGACGATCTTACACTTTCAATGACCATTTCTCACAATCGGGAATGGGGACGGTATGATCTGCTGCACACCACAGACACACCAGCAATGTATTAGCGTGCAATTTTTGTAGCAAGATAACTTAAATCATAAAAACAGGGTTACATGGCATTAGGTACTAATAAATTTTTGAAGGCTATTCATTTGCCATAATCTTATTTGCAAAGTATCCACAAGAACAGATACTATTTGAGGTGCAGTTTAACGTTTGCGTGATCACAAAAGCGTCAGTGGTTCGATAGAATACTCACCGACAGTGCCGCATGTGGTCCGGGGTTCAATCCCCGGCCAACATACTTCCAAACCTCGTTAGGCCGCTATTAATCTCAGCAAAGAGGGATGGTTGGGTGTGAGACTAGCAACCCCACCCGGTAAAAGGAAAGCAACTGCTGCCGAAACTTCAGCATGAAACCCTATGTCCCAAATGTGACTCAGAGGAGTCGGGAAGAAAATATTCTTAAGGAGTGTTCAAACTCTTACATTCTGAAAGAGTAAGGTTCACTATCTAGTGTCAGAACTAGATCTCTGACTGACTAAGTTGAGTAATAAGTTGGATGTCTTCTTTTTTTTGACTGTATCACCTCCTGACATTGAAATCACCGTGATGAGGATTAGTAGAAAAGGTTTTCAGGTGCGTGAAAAAGACAACAACATATTGACAGTTAAATACATATTATGTGAGCAGAAAAGGGTGAATTATTTCTACAGGTATCAGTTTGATATTCCTTCTTAACTCCATGCTGAAATCTTCAGTTCTGGTCATGGTGAAACTATCATCTCTACAATTAATTTATCTTGTTTCCTTGGAACTCAAGTGAAATATAGTTATTCTAAGATCAGTTAAGTTTGTGTTCTTGAAGTTAAGAATGAAAAGCATCAGAGATGCTTGAAATGAGGACCAAACTATTATTCAGCTAGGTCAGTACACATTCAAACATTATTGTACAGTTTCATACATGTTCTCAGTTCTGTGATTTCAAATGGACCGAGTCGGATAACTTAACCAATCAAACTAGAGATGCTTATATCAATAGTTTTTAGAAAATCTGATCAGTTTTAAAGCAGCTGACATAATGAACCGAAATCATTTAGAGAACTATTAAAAGTTGGAGATCACTAGACTGCTGGTTAGCCATAGTCTGAAACGCATTATTAGTGAACATTCGTTGCCCAGAAGTGGATCCAGACCATGATACCTAGATTGTAAGACTACCCCTACCACATTCAATCAGTAATTGCGAATCTAATGACTCTGTCTGAGGATAAAGTAACACAGGCACCCTGGACCGGATTTCTCATGAAGTCTAGGATGTGCGCTTCTGGTAAGCGTCAAATAACATGGATTCATGATGAAATGCACCTTCTCACTGAAGATTCTAGGCTTTTATATAATCGAGTGCGCTCTTGAAAAGCGAAGATTATGCATCCAAAGTAAATTATAGTTTTACACTCAAAAATAAATAAAACATCTCTCAGATTAGTACAGGAGTTCTACTATACACTTAGAAGTGAGATAAATTAGAGAAAGAATATACTATCCCTTTCTCAAGAAAAGTTGCAAAAAATATGAGAATATAAATTCGCATGACTGAAGGTTATCCAACTTAGCACATGCAGTGTCTGGAAGTTTTGTTCTGTCATTTACTTCTAAGTCACGCTACTGCACACTTACACTTCTAAAAGAAGTTCAATAGAATGGAGGAATTGTCTTTCTGTATTAAATCACAACTGTAATTGATACAGACAGTAGAAAAAGACTTATACAATCGTAAGTGCTCAATATCCAATTCAGGGGGATGTAAAACACTGTTTTTTCCAATCGACATCATCAATGGAATCACTATATCCATTCCAGTTGGTCACTCAGGCAGATTAGTGTGCATAGTATCAAAATCCCAGGTTTTCTAAAAGCATACTTGTAAGGCGGAATTCATCGTGTTCTGCTCTGATGTAATGTTTTTCATTCACGCCAAGTAGCTGGCTAGAAATGAAGCGGTCTGAAGTGATTTTTACCTTTGCAATTTAATTCACCCAGTTGCACGTCTATTTGACTAGAAACTAAAGTTGACTTGTATGAGTCATCTGTAATTACTTATTTTAGTCAACTGAGTATATCGAATGGTTTTCTCACTTGTCACTGTGATACTGTTTTTGAAATGAACAACACTACACGTGAGAAATACCTTATTTGATGATCTTATCGATGTGTTTGCCCGATTCATTGCTACGTTGTTGAGATTCAGAATAAAATCAAGAGAATAGTGAATGTCAAACATACCACATTCATTACCACCATTATGAACTATAGCACAAAGAGTCAGCGAACATTGATTCTGACTACATCGGTCAAGCATCCTTGTGCATTCATAACTAGTACTCAGTTGTACTTATTTTCACGATCGGATGATCTTGGTTCCACAGGAGACAATCAACCCTTCAAAAGCTCTTATCTGCAAAAACTTGGTATCTTTTCATATCCGTCAAATTTAACAATCAACTCCTTTCACATAACGCTGGTTTATGATTAAATTTTTTTCACTTATACCATTTGTGCATGTATCTTTATGAGTTCGACAAGAAGCGTTAAAACCAGGAATCACTACAGCGGTTTGGTATTCTTCAGAGGTAGGCATCAATTAGTGTTTATTAGTTGGTCGAAGGCAATTGGCAAGAAGCCTAGGATCCAGGTTTCGTGCTTGTTGGCAATCACCAATCAGAAAGGCGTGCCTGCTATCTTGAAGAAGGTCATGTCCCTCCTGAGAGTGAGTGATACTAGTAACTACCTAGTGTCCAATCAAAGTATCCAATACACTCTTAAGGGAGGTCAATCATGAGTCCGAATAGCTCATTGATAACGTTTCTTCAAGATCATAGATACGCTCGGATGACGAGTTCCAACAAGTCCGAAACCTAGATCAAACTGGCCTTCCTGCCGGTGACCCCCAAACATCTAATGAGAACAATTCAGAGTGCATCATGATGGTGAGCCACCTAGTGGCATGGTGACCACATTGCAAACTTGCCTGATAGAGGTCGGTCTTCCGAAAACAAACGACTATAGATGCATGATACTAGCTACTTACTAGTGTCTAATCAAAGTTACCAATTAGTTTATTTGCTATCGAAGTTGATTCTTTCACTTCTCCGTATTAATTAGTACACTACCATTATACCACTGAGCTTGTATTGACAACTCACCATGCATATATAACTTAGTGCCACTGAGATGAACTTACCGTTCACAGTTTCACTTCAAATACGTCTCAGAACAAGTTCATAACAAAGAAGTTGGTTATTTAGGTAAATATATTTTTTTTAATTATACAGTAGGAATAATCATAATGACCAACAGCCATCAATATGAAACATATGACATGCAATGATTTGGGACATTTTTTGACAGTATATATTACAAAAAGTTAAAGACAGTCAATTACTATCAGGAATAATTCTGAGAATATATATATGTAAGGCTAAAAAAATTACTGTCTTTCACTAAAAACAAAAAAACAAAAACAAAATAATTTTTATTAGATGTAACAGAGTGTGTTCTCATTTGAATAGAATTTTAGATTTGAAAATTTGCTCATAGGATGGATAACTGCTGGCTGGAGCTGGATAGGTAGTTCAGTTGACAAAGAAATTCTCTTGAGGGGTTATGAGATGAAGTCAGGTGTGTTAATAACATGTAATAATCCAAATGCTGAGCTCGCTGCTAAATTCACTACAGCTTTCAGTCTGAACATTTGAAGACTGAAAATGCGGGGAATTCACTACTGTCCTAAGCAGACTGCAGATACTGCATACACAATGCTAATGATTCAGTGACTCATTAGAAGAAATAAGAGGTGATACTGACTGGATCGGTACTGCAAAAGTGCAATAAGGTGAACAACTTACATCGATTTCTGGTGAAGTTAATTATTTAAGTTAAAATAAAAACAGGAATGTCTACTGTCTACAAATATCAATATTATTGAGCATTTTTAAGATTTTTGTTTTTAAAATGTGATATGTTGGTAAACAATGTTTTATTTTTTACTTTATAATAGTGCCGAAATTATTCAGCTGGACTGTAAGTGGAACAAGTTACACGCTCTGTTGGGCTTCTGCTTTCCTCTAGACATTGTGTTGATTTTTGCAGTTGCTTATACAATCTGGAGTTTTCTGCAGGCATTCTCGCATTACAGCGTCAAAATTAAGGTGGAGGGTGCGGAGGTGGGTTGGTTGGTAATGATAGTAGTTATTTCATTATTTAAATCGATTGCACATGGGTATAGCCTGACAGATTTACTGGATTTGCAACAATATCTTGTTTAACTGCATTACAAAATTCACCTAGCTGATTTGTATTCACACCTACAGGAGATGTTGGAAACGGGATGTAACCGTCCACAACTGTATAACTGTTGTGCTTCACGCCCAAATGTTTACGAATTGATGATTTCTGTACTCGTCGAGCACTACATTTATGTGCATTTTTCAAACGATTCTCTTGATTCTGTGAATGATTGAATACATTTTTCTTATAAGGATTCATTGTTCTGTTATGACTTTTATCGAAATGTCTGCCTAAATCCCATTTCCATTTGTACGACAATCCGCATATAATACAACGATGTGGACGTTGTTTCGAGTGCACCATTATGTGTTTCTGTAATTCCGTTGGCCATTTAGCCACATAATCACAATTTGGACAAGGATAACCCGAAGTGTGCATATTGTTTGAACGATTCAGTATTACTTTCATATTCTACAAAAAAATTTTTAAAAATAAACAAGTAATTCTCTATTAATTATGAAATTTATAGAGGAATGGTGTGTGAACAGTGTTGGAAGATAATGTGGCCTAGACGTAGTAAGCTGTGTGTCAGTGAATTGGGAAGGTGTGGCTTCAGTTCCCCCTTCGACCCACTCCTCAACCTCATCCGGTTAACTACCCAGTAGTACGCCCTGAAAAGAGAGCAGGTCGGGCATGAGGTTACGGACCTAATCCCTCAAAAACAACACCAACGTTACTGAAACTTCAAAGCTTGATGTCCCATGTTCGCAGGGAACTCAGGGTATGGGAAAAGAAGATGTATTCGGATAATGAAATAGAATATGAGCTGCCATATTTCCTTTATTCAAGTATTGGTTTGTAGAGATTTGATTGATTGCTTACAGGATTTCATCATGAGCTGACATCAGCTAGAGAACCATTGGAAAACAACCAGGGAGTATTGGATAGTCGTTTCGTCTTAGTTGCATCTAAATTCTGCCAATTCATGACGTAGCGCAAGCACTAGCCAATCTCTTTACTTTTGATAGCACAATCTCCCCAATGTTTTACATGCTATTAGTGCCACATATAAATAATGCGTTAGTTGTATACTGAGTGGAACTTACTCAAAACATAACTCATACGAGTGTCTGCTGCCATCTCAGCTGACAAAAGTTAATTTCATTGACCGATGAGAGAATTCATCTAAAATGCTTGATATTCAGGTCATATGATTTGTCTGGAATTTGAATTAATTTCAATTATGAGACTTTCATGACAAACTGACATCATTTAGACAGACCAATGAAATACAAGGAGCACTGGACAACTGTTTCGTCCTATCTCGGGACTCTTCATCAGTGATACAGCCAGGGATCGAACCGGGGACCATCAGGTTACAAGACCAAGCCTGTCGACCACTCAGACACTTGGGCTGAAATTCGATGACCCTTGGATTCTAACTCTGTGAAATTATGATATAGCGCTGCGCTGACCAATGCTTTCGAGAGCATCCACTTAATCTTGACATGGTGGTCCTAATTGGTCACAACTTCCCACCGCAGCTTTAGGAAATGCATGTCAAGGTGAAACGGACGCTCACGCAAGGCGTTGGTTGGAGGTAGTGCTATTATCTTGAGTTGACAGAGATAGAATCCAAGGGTCACTGAATGTCACCCCTAGTGGCTGAATGGTCGTGTAGCTTGGGCTGGTAACCTCAAGGTCCCTGGTTCGACCTCTCGTGGGTAGTTTTCTCTAACCGATGTTGATTCATGACGAAAATATAACAGTAAAAATGCCTAAATTAACAATTTATGTGAAAACATTTCATGGCTTTAAACATGTTTTCTAATTCTCAACTTCAAATTTATCATAAATATCTTACTGAAGTTCATCACTGTGTGAAATAACAAACTCACCTGTAAACATGCATCATCTATTGTATGTGATTTCCAGGATTTCGTGTGCTCCATTTCTGCTTGTAATATAACATTGTGCTCTGTTATGAAATGATTATTCAGTTCATACAATGATGGGAATAAAACATGACAGTGATTACATCGAGTAACTGGTTGTTTGCCTGGTGGACTACAATCTAGGTGGCTGACAGGCGACAGGGATGATGATGTTGATGAAATTGTTGACAGTTGTTGCAGTCTGTTAGACAGCGTTTTTGACTTCATGAAGAGATCAACCTCATTGTTAATATCCGCCTCAGGACATTGATTTTTATTGTTACCTTTGTCAGCTGTATTTCTCCTGTTAGTATTATGCTTTGATGACCGCCTTCGTTTTGTAGGAAAGCCGTCTGATAGATGTATTGCACCAGTGAGGTTAGATCCATCTACACTGGTGTAATCACAGTTTATGTGAAACATTGGTAGGCTTTGATTTTTGTCTGTTATCTGTTCTTTACTACTGTAAGATTTCATGTTGACAGTTGTGTGTACAGGATTTGTCGGCGAACTATTCAAATTGGATGACATACTCAAATCTAAGGGATTTTCATGTGCATTCCCTTCAGTGTCACCATTGAAATTCACTGATCCATTTAAGGATTCATTGAAATTTGCATACTCCATCCTGTAGGAAAGAGACCAGTTAGCCTTTCCCATCATATTAGAGATTAGATCGGTAGAAGACGGACAGTGAAGTGTTTTGTGCAATTCTGACGGTATAGACAGTGATGACTGGTAAGTTATATGATTTGCTCGGCTGCTAGTGTTGACATTTTCTCTATGAATAGCATTATTCGTAGCAATATGAATATTATTATTATTATTACTATTAGAAGTAGTGCTAGGCACTTTATATTCGCTTAGTGTATCTATCATTTGCGGTAGGAGAAACGATTTACTCCCTGGTCTGCTGATGTACTTTGCAACATGCATTAATTTACTGTGATCATTTAAATTAGGATTGGAAAATAGACTGAAGAAACATTGAAATGCACGAATAAAGTGTTCATTCTTGTCTGTAGTGTTTGTTGTGATGTCATTAGCAGCCAGAGAGGATGATGTATTCATGACTACTGCTTGTTGATGTTACACTTATAAATGCTAATATGCTGAAAATAACGAGGAAGATGAAACAAAAAAAAAGAAAAAATCAATTACTTTATGCTAAAATATGCAGAATGAAATTACTGCCAGTGTACTGCTTAAAATGATTTCAAGGAGAAACAGACAGATGCAGAATTAGAGCTTCATAATTCATGGTAATGAGCTCTAGGTTATGTGAACTAGTGATTGGAAGATCGGTAATGAACTTTGTCTTCAGCATTCTGAGTACTAAAGGTTATCTAAATCCTTGAAAGGAAATATGATGTCTTCGTGGATACTCTAGTTAGCATTGATCAGTGATTCAGACTTTAAAGAAATTTATATTGACGTGTTTAGATTTGGGTCGATGGCACAGCGGTTAGAACTCTCGTCAACCATGCACACGGTCTATCTCCTGCCGACGCACATCTGATATCAATGGTCGGCCTGCGAAATTCGGGCTACCGATATCGCATGCTGTAAAATTCCTTACTTGCACCGAAAATACGGTGTGGAATCAAAATTTAAAAAGATAATAAACTGCAGTATTTGATTTCTAGATTGTTAGCACCAAAGAGAAGAGAGTATGTTTTACGGAGGAATACTCACTGGCCAACCTGGAGGTCTAGGATCGATTGTCCACCAAACCACGTCTAAACCTTACCGAGTTTACTAGTGATGGTAATCAGCCTGGGAAAAGTGAAAAGGTTGGGTGTAAGGTTAACAACCACATCTCACCGCTAATAAAACTTAAAACGCCTGAAGCTACGTATTACTCTAGGAACGTAGTGGGATGAAAAAGGATACAATACCAATATGTGTGATTCTTGAAAGAGGCCACTTAACCTCCTTTCGGTTTCAGATGACTGCCTATTATGCTCCAGTTCTGTATACATTAAATCGTTAAAGCTATTTAAGCATAACACAGAAGTTGTCAAGTGTTTGTCGGTTGCCTAAGATCCTTTAACAGATGCATTTGTAATGACGATAGTGATGCCAGTAAGACTGTTTGCTAATCAAATCGTGTAGCTCATCTATACATTCTAGACAATATACACTCAGGACTCTAGCTGTCATCCAGAGATCAAGTCTGAACAAACTATACAGATCACTGTCCATGGATAAGTCTCACAAACTTGCAGAAAGCTTATCAATTACTGAGTGAAATAAAAACTATCCAGTGTCCAAGAATTGTAAATCTACAATAACCTGTCAAGAATAGAAAAGACTGATAGCTCTAGTGGGTGATCTTGATTGGACGATAGTAAAATTCCATTCTTAAATGTCTTAATCAAGAAAACTTACACAGAAAATTTAGAAACACAAATATGCAGAAAATCAAGGCACACACACACATGCGGAAATCAAAGACTCAACTATAGTAACAATAGCCAAATGACTCACAAAAGTAACTATGTACAGATATTGATTAAAAGAGTTAGAACATACGGTAATACTTCAGTGCTGAAGACAGTACTGCCTTCAGGAAGAATGAATACCCACACAATTTCATCACAGAATGCTTCAACTCAAATGGAAGTAGCGACAGGAAACCATTTTCAAACACCATAAGAAAATTCATTCTGCCACGAAAGAATATCTCCGTATTAACGGCTAGAATACTTCGACCATTTGAAACAGACATAGCACACAAGTCGACACAATCGATTCGCTTAGCAGCGTGCAGACCAAAGGATCCAAAGGCGAAAGAATAAATTGCATAAATTGTGATACAACACTACATTTGTCGAAGTCGGCATCCCCTTCGACTGAGAATCCAAGATCATAAATTAGCTGTGAAAAGTCACAAAATGTATTCTTTCATATCCATGCATGCTGGCAGTTACGGAGACCAATCTGATTAGGACAATGTAGCAATTTGAAATAGAGGAACACCAGAAATGCCAAGGAATATCTAAAGGTCTGATACTCAGATGAACAATCACCAACTAGCAAACACACTACCATAGATCAAATTTACCAACTAATAAAAAAAAGATTAAATCACATGAAAAGAAAGTTCAAACTCCAAGCCAATAAAAATGATCAGTAGATATGTGAATTGACAACCAATCACAACCAAACAGTGATTGTCAGGAGATACAATTATATCAGCATTCATGGACAGTTCCAACAAGTTCATTTCATATTAAACCTGCACTGAATGGATGTTGTCTACAAGGACAACTAAAGCTTCACAAGTGAATCGATCAAACCAGAGAACACAACTGAATCAAAATAACCTATCAGATTGGTTCAGAAATTTATCCGCATCTTAAACATGATATCAACATTCATCCAAAAAAAAAAATTTGTGCTTTACTCATATACTCGAATAGAACCGGTTGGATATTTCAGAAAATGCTACGCCGATAAATGGGAAAAATAAATCAGAAGACGATATCCAGGTTAGAATGCGAATGATTAGGGAACATGCAAACTTAAAGCCATCCACTGAGTTGGCGGATAGATACCCGGGCAGATACCCGTTAATTTGGACACCTGCTTAAAATAACTAAGAGTTTCAGTGGCAAGAAAATCACCGATCTCAGAGCTGTTGTCCTATACAAAAATTGCAGTCCAACACTTGTTGTTGTTGTTTCCAAACGGAACAGACTGAAACTGCATAAATTACATCAAGCAAAATGTGAACTTACTCATGTCAACCAAAAAGGTATATTTCTTAACGATAGAGAGGAAAATAATAAAACTGTGGTGTCCTCAAAAGGAGGTCGAAGTCAAAAACAGTCAAACCAATTTGAAAAATAATACTAGAGCATAATATAAGATGAAGATAAGACAGTTGACAATATCTCGATTCTAAAAACAGACTGTCATGAATCAGTATGTAGAAAGGAGACAGAACAAGGCAGACTAGTACCACCAAAGGTGTTCCATACAGAAGAAGAGAAATTCAGATGACAAAATTATTTCCCGCTTATTATAGTTAGGAGCTTACATCATAATTGATAACGAAAGTATTTTAAAAAGCGAAGCAACTCTACTGTCTAGGCTGAAGCTAAGTGCGTCGGTGGCACAGTGGTTAGGACGCTCGCCGACCGTGCACATGGTCCGGGGTTCGATCCCCGGCCACTGACGCACTCCTTTACCTCGCTGAGCCAGAAATAAAGCTTGTAAAGGGGAAAGGTTGGACATGAGGCCAGCAAATCCATCTTGTAAAAAAATAAACACTGCTGCAGAAACTTCAACCTCCAGTTTGAAACCCTATGTTCTACTGGGAAAGTGAAGGAATTAATAATAATAAATAAAGGCTGAAGGTGACCGAACGCACCACTGATGACCTCAGTTCCTAACAAGCGAAGCTCTTAAACAGGCGTACAGAGAAATTTTAAAGGTAAATGAAGTACATTAGGTCGATGGACGAATTTACTGAGGTACAATGAGCATTGGAAACTTAGAAAGCCCAGTAAATTCTAAAAAATTGGCATTCTGTTCAACTCAACTCACTGATCTAACGATTGGCTAGTCTAATCAATGGATCTTCCGATCTCTAAAGTAAACTAGCTGTCGTTAGGACGGTTATTATTTACATGAAAGTAAGTTCATCTCAATGAAGAGTTGAAAATGCACAACAACGTATATCCTAGATATCAGAAGAAACCCTGACAACTCCTGATGTCACAGACGTTTCAGTTAATTTTCTTCTTCTCATACTTACCCTGGTGTGTACTGTAGGAGATCAGATAAGTCCGTCAAGTCAATTGAACCTCAGACGTTTCACCGTCAATGACCAATTTATTTATCCGTGCAGACTGAAACACATGGTGGAAAATTGGATTCTCAAGGGACACGAGTTCAGCGGTGTTGTGCTAGTGTCACTGTGTATCTCTATAGTCTATTCATATCACCACTGATAAATACACCTTTGAGCAGCCGTAAGCGTTACATTCTCCCTTTGCCAGTTGGGACAGTGTAAGGAACAGCCTAGCCACTAGTTTAGATGGGCCAGGCTAAAGATTCATCAGGTAGTGAGGCCGTAATGCAGGTCTAGCAGGATATTTGATCACAAACCAAAATCCCGAGTGTTATTTCTACTTGAAACCAACCGGAAGCGACCTCGAAGTCGTTCAAACAGCCGAATTAACTGGTTTCGTAGAGTACTTACTACATATCTATGTCTTTTTGGAAGATGTCTATTTAGAGAGATATACAAGCGTAAGCACAGACACTGCCCTATGTCTGATAACCATCATTATTAGTCAGTCAATTCTTCGGCTTACATGATTTATAGTGTGAAACAGAAGAACTGACATGGTGGCTAGTGTAAATGAGAAAGTACTAACGGTTTTTTTTTCTATGAGTAAACATCGACAGAATGAACGGATCCATTGTTGACGTTTGCCTTAACAGGAAAGTGTCAGCAATCCAGCTAATATATTCTGAATTCTACTAAATGAAACAGTTTTTTTAAAAATGCCCTATTGAAGGATATGTATACAGTATGGGGGATGAAATAATTAGCTAGATAAGAACCTCTCTAACGTCTGACTTACTCGCTAACAAGCCACTTGTTCAAATCCTCTTGTGTCAGGCTATATTGTATTCCCTGAAATTCAACCATCACCCAAACTGTAGTAATATCAACCACTTCTGAAGAACAGTCATCGTCTTAGGCAGTCTGGTCAACAGTTTTGTGAATATTTTTTTAACAGATAAAAACTTTAAAAACAGTAGCTAATTGAGCTTACCTAATTTGAAGTTGAAATGACTGGATGACATCAACGAGCAGCAAGCAATAAATGCACTGAACCTCTTTCCGTGTATACAATTAAATAACTTGTGCTAATTTTAATCAAATAAATACAAGATAAAGTGTTCCGGAACTAGGTAAATGGTTAGCTTTTTTCATCATCATCATTATCTTCTCCTTCTTCTTCGTTGCCCCCGCACCCCCTTCCTCCAACCCCCAACCCCCAACTGCTCACCAACCACCACCCACCACATCTAAATTCACTTTTCTGCTAATTTTCCTTTTTAGTCTATGCATTATCACTTTGTTCACATCCTCTTATAAATTTCCCTTTTGAATAACTTAAAAGCTGATTGGATATCTGCACTTACTGCTAGAATTTCCTGTACTCTTCAAATCTAAGAATGTATAATGCGTATGCATATATATGTATATATTTATGTCTGTAAATGAGGTTTACTTACAGGAAAAAAGCCACTATTTCTTGCTCACGCAGAATAACTCACCAACTAACAAACAGACAAGCTAACAACAATATCTCCTCTGATGCTTTGCGTCTATCTATCCATCTATCTATCTATCTATCTACCTATCTACCATCCTCCTGCTAATGATTTGAAGTGAAATGGGAAGTTATAACTTGCTGACAAAGTGATTGGCTCACTGCTGATAAACCAAAGACTATCCGATTGGCTTGAAAATTGCAGCCAATTACAGACTAGAATATTGTTGGGATGGTTTGAATACTAATCGATTAGGGAATCGGTAATATCCTCTACAAATGTTTTTTTTTACTACTTCTCAGGAAGATGGAGAGGTGGTCATTATGACTGATCTGGAAATAATTTGTTCAGCTGTAGTGTGAAACGACGGGAATTCTATGAAGCGATCTCTCTTACTATTCAGAGTGTAAGGCGGTTAGCCTTTAACCGAACACTGTCGTGAGTCTAGTTAGTATGAATCCGAGGTTTTTGAAAGTATGTGATGACAGGTGTTGTAAAAAACAAGTTAGTGCAGGGATAAAAAAGAAAAGAAGGAGGCTGAAACTCAATAATTACAAAACAAGTATTTACAAACTGTAGATTGCCTGAATTGCTTGGAATATTTGAGCAGATACTAAGACGCTAAACTTGTATATATTCATAGGTCCTTTTGAATGATTAGCGAAAGAAAACTGCTTAAGATCAAAGTTTGTAGTACAAAAGTATGACAGACTAGTGAGCAACTACTGTTGTCAGCCTGTGTCAGTTAAAGTGGTTCAATATTTCACAAACGCTACGCACGATTTGAAAAGAATGATACAACTTATAAGCTGTCACGGTTGACTGCTGTATATCTCATTGCAAATTCTTTTCGTTTCGATAACTTCTTCTTCATCAGGTTCTACGGTTATATGCGTCCATTATAATGAAATAGTTAAGGTTATTAACAACGTTAGCGTTTTTTGAATAACGTCAAATCAATAATAATATTAACAGATTATAGTTCAGTAGCATCTGTAAACGTGATAATATGCATCAACATAACACTACACACTGAATACCAGACAAATTTGGAAAATAATAATGCAGAATTCATGAATTTATAGACCAGCTGGTCCAGACATGCCACCAAGCAAGCATTGAAGAATCCTTCTCCATCATCTATCGAATACCAAATGAACTACCCAAAAGCAGCCAGGTACCGAAGACTCCAGACAGTAGAGGCTAGTGCAATTCGCCTGAAACAGCCGGTACTCTGTGTCAGTGCAGAAGAAACAGGTCTAACCATTACTACTGCCCTGGTATTCAGTGTAATGTTATGCTGATGCATACTATCACGCTTACAGATGCCATTGAACTGTAATCTACTTATATTATTATTGATTCGAGGTTATTTAAACAACATTACTGTTGTTAATAACCCTAATTCATTCATTATTATGGAAGCATACAACTGTAGAACCTGATGAAGAAAGTGTTATCGAGAAGAATATTCTTTGTTCAGTAATCACTCTTTTGAAATTTCTAATGGACATGTTTGATCAAATTCTTTTCTTTTCAATCATGCACTCATCAAGTTCTACTGCGAGATATTCATAACAGTTGACATGCAATTAACAAATTCACAACATTAGGGTTTTTTGTAAAGTAACACTGAGTCATCAAGGTCAATTGATTATAGTCGTAAACATGTGTTTGTGTGTGTGACGTTATGCAAGGTTCCAAAGCACGACGGAAGGTCATGTATTTATGGAATTACAGACTACCCAGCCAAAAAGTTAAGAAAACTTATGCGAAGAATTTTTAATGCCAGTAAATTACAGCTCACATTTTCAACACCCGGTTACGATTAGGCAACCAAAAGACAAAATGCCTGGACTAGTCATCTCTTCCTGCATCTACCAAATCAAGTGCTCCTGTAAAGCCATTCATTCAAGTATTGGTTTGTAGGGATTTGGTTGATTGGATACAGGATTTCATCATGAGCTGACATCAGATAGAGAACCATTGGAAAACAACCGAGGAGTACTGGACAGATGTTTCGTCCTAGTTTGAGACTCTTCATCAGAAAACACCCACCACCAGGGTTCGCACCCAGGACCTTCTGGTTACAAGGCGAGCTCGTAGACCATTAGGCCACTGGGACTCGATCCAATGGCCCATGAATTCAAACTTCTGCCAATTCACGATATGGCGCAACCGCTAACCAATGTCTTTGGCGAGTATTTGTCCTCACACCCGACCTGCTACACCCTACTGGTCACGACTTCCCACTAGAACCCCAGGTAACTACTTACCTGAATAGGGCCAGTCGCCAGTGAGCATCTCATTGATATTCAAGTATTGGTTTGTAGGGATTTGATCTAAGAGCTCGCCTTGTAACCAGAAGGTCCTGAGTTCGAACCCTGGTGGTGGGTGCGTACTGTGAAGAGTCCCAAATTAGGACGAAACAGCTGTCCAGTACTCCCTGGTCGCTTTCCAATGGTTCTCTAGCTGATGTCAGCTCATGATGAAATCCTGTAACCAAAAAGCCATTTACATCGGCCATTGCCAGAGGAGCTTGATTTTCTGCCTGGGGGAACACCTACAAGTGTTCTACATAAAAAGCAATAATAATAATCATATATTAAAACACCTATTTCAAACAGATGGTAAGGCCAGCTACTTAAGGCGACTAGTTACCGAGATCTCCGAAATGGCAGCAGCCATAACTATTCACTCCAAACATTCAGGAGTTTGTAAATAAAAGAAATGCATCTGGCCACTAATGCAATCATGGCCTACTGTGGAATTTGTAAGTCCATAAATACTTCAGTAATTAATACCCTACAGGTATAACCTTCTGTCATGTATCTATAACTCTCCCCCCCCTATCCCTTATTTATCTTTACACTTGCAAGGAAGGATCATTTATTTTCTCAAGCCATTTCGATGTTCAATTTGGTGTTGTATTCATACATATTTTTCACACATACATTTTAAACTGTAGTCATTTGATCATGATGACTCTATATTATTTAAAAAACATTAGTGTAGTCAAGTTGCTGATTGTATATCAACTGTTATGAGTATATAACTGTTGAATCTGATGAATTGTTATTATTATTCTTCCCTTGCGTTCCGAGTAGAACATAGGGCTTCAACAACACATCTCCACTCTGTTCTGTTTTCTGCCGTCCTCTTCGGCTGGGTCCACGATTGACCAAACTCTCTTATCTCTTCCTCACACAATCTCCTCCATGTCACCCTAGGACGACCCATTCGCCTCTTCCTATTTGGATTCCACTCGAGCTATGGCCTGCATTGCGTGTGATGTCATTCGATGGTCTCCTCAATGGCGTGTATGCCCGATCAATCCATCTCCATTTTCTCCTACATATTTGCAGAGCAGTCGGCTCTTGGTTGGTTTGTTCCACTGTAGAGTTTCTTATTGCTAATTCTTTCTTGCCAGCAGGCCATTTGATCTTCAGTATGGAGCCAGAGAAGGTAGCTGTCGATTAAAGGCTGCCTTGATTTTTTGGAAATCCTTTTTTTGACAGGCAGTGAAATTTTCTGACCCGTATAGAAGAAATGACTGACTAACTTTACGTTTGTGTTGAAAATCCGAATCTTGTTCTTTATGCTGAATGTAGAAGATTTCCAAACTGGTTTCAGGTTGATGAAGGTGTATCTTGCCTTTCTGGTTCTGGCTGGCTGGCTGGCTGGTTTTGACATCTTCATCCGTTCTGCCCATAGCTGAAATGATGCTTCCCAGATAAGTGAAGGAGGCAACCTCTGTTAAATCTCTCCCGTTGATGTTGATTGATGCTGGTTGTTGTTGCTGCTGCTGTGTCCACCTGCATTCCTTTCTTCGCCGGCTGCCTCTTCAGCCAGTCTATTTGTTTTCGCTTGCAAGTCTTCGAGTTTGTGTGACATTAGACTGTCTTCTTTCAATGAAAGCAAGAGTAAGAATGGGTACGTGGAACCTCGCCTAGTTAACTAGCTCGCTAGTTTTCTACCCGGTCGCAAGCCCGGGTAAAGAGGGAGGGTTGGGCGTAGGGCTAGCAACCCCACACCACTAAATCTTTCAAACCGCTAGAGAAACTTCAACACAAAGAGAATATATTATAAATACAAAAACTCCAAATAAAAATCTTATTCTTCGCTCGAATCGGAGAGGCGAAATGACACAGCGGGCTGGTGAAAGCCAGCCTTCGGGAAGCTAGTCATCCAGCCGATGTGTCTTCTCTCGATGAAAGCAAGAATAAGAGTGGATACGTGGAATCTGATAAATAAGTTATCGAAAAGAATGTTCCTAGTTCACTAATCACTCTTTTGAGACTTATTATTATTCCCCTGGGTTCCGAGTAGAACATAGGGCTTCAACAACACATCACCATTTTCTCCTGTTCTCTGCAGTCCTCTTCATTTGCCGCCACGGTTAACGATGACCTTCCACCTCCTCACCAAATGATCACGTCAGAGTTACCCTCGGACCATCGCTCAATTTGTCGTTTCCCATTCAGGTTCCATTCAAGTGATGGCCTGGTGAGCAATGTCACTCTACGGTCTCCTCAGCTTGTGTCCCATCCATCTCCACTTTCTTCTACATATTTGCTGAGCGACAGGTTCTTGGTTGGTACGTTCTCGGAGTTCCTTGTTGATAACACTACCTGACCGGCCATCTGATCTGTTGATAAAA